AGACTGGTGCCCGACCATCTCTTAAGGTTGTCCTTTCACTTGTATCGTTGTCCAACTCTTGCTCTCTTGCCTTCGACCTTTCCTTCTAGTATGGTTTTTAAAAGGGTGTTATGTCTTTTAATGTGGCCAAATTATTTCCATTATCTCTTCCTTATTTCTTTCAGCAATTCTTTTTTCATTTGAAGCCTTTCCAGAACCTCTGTATTGGACTGTTTATGTTTCCATGAAATACGACCTATTTTTCTGTATACCCACATCTCCAGATCCTCAATTCAATTTTTCTGGCTGCTTGTTCATTGTCCAGTTTCTACATCATATTTCAGGATTGTGTATGCATAACACTTGACACGTTTCATTTTTAGTGTGTTGTTTATCTCTATAGCTGTCAGTAACTTGCGCATTTTACTTAAGACAATTCAGCCACATCTATTCTCTTTTTTGTTTTGTTTTTGTTTATCTGTTTCTCTTGTGCCATCATCTGTTACTAAGTGTCCTAGATAGAAAAACGTTTTACTTATTCTAACAACTCTCCGTTTACTGTGATGTTCATTGTTGGCCGCTATTTTCCATTGTTAATTACCATAGATTTTGCTTGTCGAATGTTTATGTCTAAATCAAACTCTGCACTCTGCCCGTTGACTTGATCGGCTATTTCTTGTAACTCCTGCTCGCTTTCTGCTAGTAGCACTGTGTCATCCGTGTGTCCCAGATTGTTTACTGTTCTTCCATTACAATTTTTTCATAAATCCAAATTGTATCTCACTTTGTTTATTTTATTTTGAATTCTTTCTTGTATTATCTTGAGAATTATTTTAGTTATATGGCTCATCAAGCTAACTGCTCCGTAATCCTCATGCTCAACGGCTTTATACTTTTTTTTTTTCAGTGGGATGAAAATGGACGTTTTTAAATCCTTTGGAATGTATCCAGTATTATAAATATCATTTCAAATTTCAGTGAAGCTATCAACGCCAAAGCTTGATAATGATTTTATCTTTCCATGTTAAAAATAACCCGAAGTCGCCCCCTAGCGGGATGAAAATTTTTTGGTTTTGTTATTTGAAGCCCCACCCTGGTTTTTGTCAGGGGCCCTGAATATAACCGGGGCATAGATACGGCCTAACGGCTGAAAGGGGTTTCTGGGACCTCTCCACTGGTGATCCTCATCCGCATGGTAGCACTTTGTGTCACCGGGTGTTTATCGCTTGTTTGATGTCCTGGTGGGGTACAACTACCTATCTACATCTTTCCATGTACCTCATGTTACCTTATCGTTGCATAAGTGGATTTTCATTGGCTTAAGGCTGCTCCTGATGCTTCGTTTAATCTTTTGCACAGCCCCCCCCCCCCCCATTACTCCGTGTTTATAATATTTCTTTAAAGTGTGGCAGATGGTACCAGGGCATTCTCGTCACATGGCCAAACCATTTTATCTCTTGATTTTTAGTGATATTTCTGCTTTTACTGTTATCGTAGTTTTATTATTATAACTATAATGTTGTTCTTATTGCTGCATTGTTGTTACTGTTGATAATTACGTTTTTATTGCCCTTTTAACCATTACCGCTTTTACTTTTATTGTTTCTACAACAACAACAACAACTACTACTACTACTACTACTACTACTACTACTACTACTACTACTACTACTACTACTACTACTACTACTACTACTACTACTACTACTACTACTACTACTACTACTACTACTACTACTACTACTACTACTACTACTACTACTACTACTACTACGACGACGACGACGACGACGACGACGACTACTACTACTACTGCTGCTGCTGTTGCAGCTGCTACCACCACTACTACTACCGTTATTGTTTATATCGTTTAAGTCGCCGGAAGTGCGCAATTGACACGTGACTGGGGCCCTGTTAGGGAATATTTTGTGCCTCGATAATTTGGGACCGTTATTCGGAAGATAGCCGACTCTTGCAACAAATCTTTTCCACTGGGTGACTCTTATAACCAATCTCTTCCATTGCGTGACTCCTATAACCAGTCTCTTCCATTGCGTGACTCCTATAACCAGTCTCTTCCATTGCCTGACTCCTATAACCAGTCTCTTCCATTGCGTGACTCCTATAGCTAATCTCTTCCACTGGATGACTCTTATAATTAATCTCTTCCATTGCGTGACTCCTATAACCAGTCTCTTCCATTGCGTGACTCCTATAACCAGTCTCTTCCATTGCGTGACTCCTATAACCAGTCTCTTCCATTGCGTGACTCCTATAACCAGTCTCTTCCATTGCGTGACTCCTATAGCTAATCTCTTCCATTGCGTGACTCTTATAAACAATCTCTTCCATTGCGTGACACTTATAACCAATCTCTTCCATTGCGTGACACTTATAACCGATCTCTTCCATTGCGTGACTCCTATAACCAATCTCTTCCATTGCGTGACTCCTATAACCAATCTCTTCCATTGCGTGACTCTTTACCCAATCTCTCCCAACGCGTGACTCTTATAACTAATCTCTTCACCTGCGTGACTCTTATAACTAATCTCTTCCATTGCGTGACTCTTATAACCAATATCTTCCATTGCACGATTCTTGTAACTAATCTCTTCCATTGCATGACTCTTGTAACCAATCCATTCCATTGCGTGACTCTTGTACCCAATATCTTCCATTGCGTGGCTCTTATAACCAATCGCTTCCATTGGGTGACTCTTATAACCAGTCTCTTTAATTGCGAGACTCGTGTAACCAATCTCTTCCATTGGGTGACTGTTATAACCAGTCTCTTTAATTGCGTGGAACTTATAACCAATCTCTTCCATTGCGTGACTCTTGTAACCAGTCTCTCCATTGCGCGACTCTTATACAAAGGTTCGAAAACCCTGAGGTTTTTATTGTTATTCCCCTCTTACTCACCTACGCGTGAAACGGACGCTAGTATTCGATGATAATGAAATTGTTTAACCACGTTCGTTAACTATGCCATAGAGTCCCATACGATAAGACAAAAGCTGTAAAGTTATGTTTTCAGCTCTCTATCTTTCTATCTCTTCTCCCCTCCCTCTCTCTTATCTCTCTCTCTCTCTCTCTCTCTCTCTCTCTCTCTCTCTCTCTCTCTCTCTCTCTCTATATATATATATATATATATATATATATATATATATATATATATATATATATATATGTGTGTGTGTGTGTGTGTGTGATTGCTGTGTTAGCATGATACCACACACACAACCTACCTGCCTATCTATCCGTCCGTCTGTAACAACAGCAGAAAGTACAAAAAGTTTGAATCTTTGCCAGATTTTAATCCCAAGATGATCCAAAAACTGCCTTGTTCTGTCCACACAGGCACGTATCTATATCTCAACTGTCAGTTTATGAAACAAATGATATTCGAGACGACAATGACCAGGCTGTAGATTGTCACTTAATGTCTAATTTATCAAATACAGCGCCGTTCTGTCACATCTCTGCCGTTGCCTTGCTTTTAGACACGTTCCTTTGCAAATGCTTTCGATTGCAAATCTGACACTTTACATGTTGCCATGTCTTAAACTGAATTTGAATATTTTCATTCTTGTCAAGTCAATCGTATTTTCGCCCCCGTATACGACGATAAGACATTAGTTTGAATGTACTGCCTTTGCCACTGGCTAGCAAATCTGCTTTCTCGTGCTCATGTTTATGCGATGCAAGTGAATGCATCTGTCCCAATTGTTGGAAATCTATCTACATTCTCAGGCCAAGTGTGGCTTAAATGTGAACCACGCCTATCATTGTTAAGATCTAGCCTAGTTCAGTTCTGCAGCCAAAAATTATACCATTACGTCAATTTTGATTTTTTTTTCCTGCAATCGCCAATAAAATGATGGTTGGTACGTTGCGCTGAGGTTTACAACCAGGCTGCAATATGTGCGCCTTTAAGCCCAAGGTATCAGATTTCAATAAACCCCTACATAGTCGTCTTTCATGACACGCGTGTTTAGGGGCAATACGTCAACCACATCCCTAAATATTGGGTGCTATTAGTTGCATTTAACAACATGAATGTTGGGAGAAGAGGGTACTCCACCCCCCCCCCCCTCTTTTCTTCCCAACCCGCCTAAAAATAGTAGGACCTAATTAATAGTGTTTTACGACAATATTGTTGGGGGAAGCGGGTCCATTCTCTCTTAAAAACAGACTCATAAACGACTGAGGCAGGAAAGTGGAAAGACAAACAAACACAAAAATGACTAAGGCAGGAAAATGGCAAGCCGTACGGGCAGATAAATGACTGAGGCAGGAAAATGGCAAGCCGTACGGGCAGATAACTGACTGAGGCAGGAAAGTGGAAAGACAGACAAACACATAAATGACTGAGGCAGGAAAGTGGAAAAGCAGACAAACACATAAATGACAAAGTCAGGAAAGTGGAAAGATGGACGGACAGATAAAAAACTGAGGCAGAAAAGTGGAAAGATGGACAGACACATAACGACTAAGACCTCAAAGTGGAAAGAGGGAAAGGTAGATAAACGACTGAGGCAGGAAAGTGGAAAGACGTACAGACACATTACAGATTGAGGCAGGAAAGTGGAAAGACGGACCAGTAGATAAGTGACTGAGGCAGGAAAGCAGACAGACAATAAATGACTGAGGCGGGAAAGTGGAAATACGGACAGACACATAAACGACTGATGCAGGAAAGCAGAAAGACGGATGGATAGATAAATGACTGAGGCAGGAAATTAGAAAGAAGGTCAGACAGATAAACGACTGAGGCAGGAAAGTAAAAAGACGGACCGACAGATACATGACTGAGGCAGGAAAGTAAATAGACAGATAAACGACCGAGGCAAAAAAGCAAGAAAGACGGACGGACAGACAGATAAATTACTGAAGCAAGAAGGCAGAAAGACGGACGCACAGATAAATTACTGAAGCAGGAAGGCAGACATTCATACGGACATATAAATGACTGAGGCGGGAAAGCAGACAGAAGGACAGACAGATAAATGACTGACCTTCTTTTCGGTCAGCAAGTAAAGGTGTTTTCTGTCGTCATCAAAACTCATGCCCGCCAGAATGGGCAGGCCTCCTGCAACAGCTACGGTCTCATAGATGTTGGTGGAAGAATTCGACTCCACTGATACCTGTCGATGGTAACACGATTCATTATGGCCCTGACGCTTCTAGGCTCTTTCAGTAACAAACCACAGCACATAAGTTGCAACTACATCGAATCCAGTCATCCCCGTGTGGAATGCAATTTTTCGTTTTTTGAAGCCGTTTTAGGAAACAAAAAAAGTCTGGCTCTGCCAGGGAGCAAACCCAAAACCTTCTGGTCTGCAGGCAAGCGTCTAGCCGCTACACCACGGCGACACCCTGTCGCAGTGATTTGGTTTTTATATGTTCTATACTTTTTTGTATATGGCATAACGTCGATATAGAAATGCAACTAAAATAAAATTGATAAAAAGGAAGCTGCATCAAGAACAAAGAAGACGTGCGAAAAAAATGGTGACGTTTTTGTTTTATGTGGAGGAAGGGTGTAGGAGGGGGAAAAGGGGGAGGAGAAGCAAAAGAAGGTTAAAGGAGGAGAAGGATGAGAAGAAACAGAAGGAGCAGGAGGAAGACAAAGAGAAGCGATGGTTATCACTAGAGGTGATGGAGAGGGGGAGAGAGGGAGAGAACGACAGTAGTAGGCATAGCAGCAACAGCAGTATACTCCATCACTGTACAATTCAATCATAGCAGCAACAGCAGTATACTCTATCACTGTACAATTCAATCATAGCAGCAACAGCAGTATACTATATCACTGTACAGTTCAATCATAGCAGCAACAGCAGTATACTCTATCACTGTACAACTCAATCATAGCAGCAACAGCAGTATACTCCTTTACTGTACAACTCAATCATAGCAGCAACAGCAGTATACTCCTTCACTGTACAACTCAATCATAGCAGCAACAGCAGTATACTCCATCACTGTACAACTCAATCATAGCAGCAACAGCAGTATACTCCTTAACTGTACAACTCAATCATAGCAGCAACAGCAGTATACTCCTTCACTGTACAACTCAATCATAGCAGCAACAGCAGTATACTCCATCACTGTACAACTCAATCATAGCAGCAACAGCAGTATACTCCTTCACTGTACAACTCAATCATAGCAGCAACAGCAGTATACTCCTTCACTGTACAACTCAATCATAGCAGCAACAGCAGTATACTCTTTCACTGTACAACTCAATCATAGCAGCAACAGCAGTATACTCTATCACTGTACAGTTCAATCATAGCAGCAAACAGCAGTTTACTCCATCACTGTACAGTTCAATCATAGAAGCAACAGCAGTATACTCCTTCACTGTACAACTCAATCATAGCAGCAACAGCAGTATACTCTAACACTGTACAACTCAATCATAGCAGCAACAGCAGTTTACTCCATCACTGTACAGTTCAATCATAGAAGCAACAGCAGTATACTCCATCACTGTACAATTCAATCATAGAAGCAACAGCAGTATACTCCATCACTGTACAATTTAATCATAGAAGCAACAGCAGCTTACTCCATCACTGTACAATTCAATCATAGAAGCAACAGCAGTATACTCCATCACTGTACAATTTAATCAGACCCACCTTTATCAGATGTCCATCCTTGGTGCCCAGGTAAGCTACCGTGTAGTCGTGAGTTGTGGCCACGGTGATAGAGCTCAGACGTGGCGAAGCTGCAGGGAATGTCAGCACTGGTTGGCTCACTATGGGGCTGGTGCCAGCGATGGGCTGGTTGGAGTCAGTCTCACCACAGTAGTCGTCGTCGATGCTGAACTAAAAGTTTCAGAAGGCAAGAGACGTTATACGTGAGGATTGCAAGAAATATCAGATGTGCAAACAAACGATTAGAGACACTTCCCCCGCATGGGGTTGGTTTGTGAATTCACAAAGCAATCACACGCAGGGCTCTACTTGTTTTCAGCGTTTACCGGCTGTAAACTCTGACTGAAAGTTCTGGTTGTTCTTCCATTTCTGGACCCTGGTGGTGTGTTTTGCGTGCATACCCACTTTGCTCATCTGGCGTATTTGTATTAAGACGGCTGGTTGCTCGCCTCTCAGATGCACTCTGACTTTGAAGGAAACATCACTAATTAGTTGCCTTTTGCGACATGCTCAATATTCTTACCCCCCCCCCCACCCAACCCCACCCTTTCCCCCTCCAAATATAGCCCCGGAACCTAGACCCCAAAAAAATGGAATTTAGCTTAGACAACAATGCATCTTTAAAAATGTATGATGAAAAATAACGTTATATGTTAGAAACGAATGACGAATGATGCTCCCAGTGTGGATTTTGTCTGAATGCAAATAGTTTCCCCGTGTGGGTTCCAGGGAGCCATTGTCGGAAAAACAAGAACAGACCCACTGCCTATCCATCAAGCATGTCGTAAGAGGCGACTAATTGGGGCCTACTTTGAAGACAAAGTGCATCTGCCTGGGAGGCAAGGTAACAACAGTCTGCATACAAATAAGCAAGATTTGTAAAACGGATGCACATGCACAACTCAGGTCCTGGAACAAGGCCGAAGTCCAGAAATTAATGACGCCATCTTGACCGGTGTTCAAAGTGCACAAACGATCCTTACATCTCCATATCTCACTCTACATTCCGACATGTTACTCTATATTCCCTCATATAACTCTATGTAACACATACCTCAGGAGCCGCGTTAGCCAAGTCGATAGGAGACTCGTTTTCAAATCCAGCTGCGACTCGGTGCAGCCCATGGCCGGTGTTTGAAACCGGGCGATTCCTGGGGTTCACCCAGCCTCTAGGAAATAGGTACCAGAGTTAACACTCTGTGGTAAATGGAGGAATGTCGCTGTAGCTACGGAGTTGCGTGCGGACGGCGACACAGGCGGACAGTTTCTTATCAGCTGTCCGTACTGGTGGCAGAGCACTTATGGTTTTTAACCGTGTGCAATGACGCTGGTTTAACATCTGTTGACTTTACCTTTACCTTTTTTTTTTTACCTTTACACTTATACCTCATTCCATTCTTACCATTCAAATCCGACACTGTGGCAGTACACAGGGGACGTGTTTAGGAGACATTTAGGTGACGTATTTAGGAGACGTTTAGATCACGTGTTTAGAAGACACATGAACGTAGCCGCAGCTACGTGACTGTCGCTTTGGACAAAGCACTATCAGGCGAGACCAAACTGTCCACAGACAGAGATTGAATCACAAGGGATGAAACCCGTTTCTGATAAAGTTGATTCCCTTGTTTGTCAGACACATTTAAGACCAGTAGAAACGATTCTCACAAATGACTTACCGTATTTTTGGTACACTCCTTAACACTACCAAGATGACCGCCACCCGAAAACCCATGTCCATCGAAACATCTCTTGATGTTCTCCGTAAATTTGTTGCGAACTAAGTCCATTCTGTATAAACACAACGCTTCTGCTTTAGGCTCTAAGGAGTGATTCTCCACCCTGGCAAATACAGCAAACAGGACATCAGTTTTTGTGTTGATCCCCAACTGCAGCGCCAAGTTCCTTCCCGCCTTGCCCAGATGCGCGGCCACAAGAATGGGGTACGTGTTGTTGTCGTTCTTGTCGCCAAAAGTGCAAATAAGTGGTACCTCAACGTACGAGTAGTAGTTGACGTCTGACTGGCAAACCCGAACAGCTACCGACTGATAGGCAATGTTTTCTGGCCCCGGCTCCTTCTTCTGTACAGTTAACATATAACTAAAGTTCTCAGAACTGAACCCGTAGACGTATCGAACCGGAAACTGAGGTCGCTGTTGTCCTTCGAAGTTAAAAGAAGTGGACGTGAATTTTAAACTGTCTTTAAAGGCAAGTGAGAAATCGTCCAATCGGCGACTGGATAAGGCTGGGATGTCTTCTAGAATTCCCTCCGGTTTCGACCAAGAGACGGAGACGTAAAGAACTCGTTGCTGTTCGATACTGTTGTCCGATGACGGTCCGGCTGCTATGAAAGCTACAGTAGATGCAGAAGCGTTGCTAGTGACAACCGAGGAGCGGAAATCCGGTGGTTCTAAGATGGAGATGTTAGCCAGGTCCCGGCGTTCACAGTGCCCGTGGTATAAAGTGCCGCATGCGATCAACCGGTCACCGACTTCATCAATAACCAATACTTTGTTCACGTTGTTGGTGTACTGCTGATGGACACATGTTCTGGGTTCCTCGACCGGTGGCGGGCATTTGGGGGAATCCAGGGCCGGGCCTGTCTTGACTTCTTGTATCTTGTTCAGGTTTTCATCCAAGCTGAAGAACAGAAAGTGGTTAACCTTAGAAATGAAATATGTACTGTCTGTTTAAATAGATGGAATTAAATAGTATCTGGAATCGCCAAACTGGAGCTTTGCCAGAGAAATAAACAAGTTCCAGTTAATCAAGAGGTGAAGAGAAAATCCTGGCACTGGATAGGAAACAGAAAATCTGAGAACAGTATAACTAAAATGTCTTTGCACTGGAACCCACAAAGGCAGAGAAAAGGGTAACAAGACAGGGATATGGGGTGAGCTGTATGCGACAGCAAAGAATAGGGCGACAGCAGAGGATAGGGCGACAGCAGAGGATGGGCGACAGCGTCAGTTGGCTGAGGGCCTAATCTCCAATAGGGGATAATGGCAAAACAAGAAAAAGTCTAAAAATTTCCAACTCGGTTGTCTAATGTTATGGCTGCTTCTTGTTTCCAGCGTGCGCGCGCGCGCGCGCGCACACACACACATATATATATATATATATATATATATATATATATATATATATATATATATATATATATACAAACATATGTAGAAACTGGTCCATCCGAAATGCAACAGAGTAAATGAGACAATAGTCAAGCAAGTTGATATGTTTAAGTACTTGGTTACCCTGACAACATCAGAAAAAAAGATGTTTTAAAAAAGTTAAATGCAAATTTGCTCAAGCAAAGGCAAACTTTTACAAAATGAAGAATATTCTTTGAAATCTTTCTCTGTCAATTCAGACGAGAAAAAGCTTTCTTAAAAGCTGTTTAAATCATATCCTGATATACAGAAGTGAATCATGGACAGTTGCCAGCCTAGTGAACAATTATCTTCAAGCTGCAGAGCTGGGGTTTTATAGACGAATGGTGAGATGGACAGATTAAATGAGTAATGAATACGTCTTGAAAGAAACTGACTCACAAAGCTGACTACCCACATTAGAAAGAGACACTCTACATTCTTTGATCATATCATGAGAAGAAGAACACTGGAATAGATCGCAACAGTAGGAGAGCTGGAGGGAAAGAGAGGCACAGAAAGACAGAGAAGTTGCTGGACAGTTCGAGATCATGGCATGGATGATCACCTGTGTCATATTTGACTGAAATTACACGAGACAGACGGCTGTAGATAGACATGACTACTAACGCCACACAGTATTAACTTCAAACAAAACAAAAACAAAATATATTACACAACATATCTAAACTAGAAATCACAAACCTTTACTGTGTTTGTGTGTTCATTTTAATTCAGCTGTTAACACCTCCCAAATCATGATCACCTCGCGGGTGAATATTTAAGTGCTATTATAACTATATTGTTTAATTTTACAGTCCCACTGGCGGTCAGATTTATGTGCATTTCCTTTATCAACAATCAATATGAGTAAACTTTCGCTGGAGTTAAATCCCTTTGAATATTTTTTATATTATTGCATTTGAAAAAGTATATATATATATATATATATATTTTTTTTCAAATTTTATTTCGCTGTTATCTCTATTAAAACCACATATCTATTACAGTAAATCCATGTGTTCAGGGGATGCCTCGGGTGCACTTAGGGGTAAAGATTAAAACTACGACAGCGGTGGAGACACAGGTGAAGTAGAAAACGGGGGAGATTAGATGTAGTGTTTTACTTGGACCCCTATTTAACTTAGACTTTAAAAAATGTAACCGGCAGTCTGCATTCGAAGGATTCAAAGAGGAACCTGAAGTCGGAAGACTCATGTTGTGCTCGCTCCTCCCTGGAGTTTGCACTAGGCCTCAATAAAGGGCACCAGTGGAGACCAAAATGAGGTAGTACACACATGTCGTCATTGTAACTGACTCACATGCTCCGTGCAGAGTGGCAAGCATCACTTCAGAGCTCCCAGGTGGTTAACATCCTTTAGATATTTTCTCCAGGTCACGCCGGTGTGTTGGGAAATGAGCAGTCGGATAGACTGGCCGGTTCTGCACCACTTGGTGGTAAACTGATATATGACAAGCTGGATGTTGTGAGGGCCCTTTGGGAGCGAGTGAACAGTGACGAGGAACAGACAGATCATTATGGTCTGAGGAGAATGGCACTGCTAGGTGTTTCAAGGGGATCTGGCCGACGCTCGACACTCGGGGGAGGGGCGAGAAGGATATACAATCAGACTGTTACTGGTACCATAGGAATTTTAACTTTTCGCTAGCTGCTGAAGATGGGGACAGAGCGCTTATGGGAGTGTCCCGGGTGCTGTGATGTCGATTCTTAATTCAACATTCAATGGGCTAGAGGACGGGAGAATTTAAACAAAACTTCACAATATATATATATAAATGTGTGTGTGTGTGTGTTTAAAGAAAACATGTTTTATTACATCCAAAGACATCATTAAAGATAACGAGTTTCACATACTGGCTGAAATATGTGATTCACTATCTTGTAACAAGAGCGCGCAGGTTGCCTGATAATACGAACTTCCACTATTTTCTCATCCTGCGATGTTGGCATTGACAGATAAGTAATGTCATGCTATGAACGGGCAGCAGACGCTAATCGGCGGCAAGAAGTATCGTTACAAAGGGACAGGCCAGTGTTTTGTGTATGTAGAGGCTGTAATTATGAAACTCATTTAGGTGTGTTTAGTGAACATGTGTTTTGCTTATTTTCAAACTCTGGTTTATGTAAATATTGGAAACAATTGAGGGCATTGGTACCTGAAGAGAAATACAAAGGGGCAGGGGGAACTGGAGGTAGGAAAAAATAATGGAAGGTGCATAGTTGAAAATGAAGAGAAATATAATTGTGGTGTGGGGTGGGGGGTGAAAAAAGTTAAAACAGGAAAATTGAAGAGTGAGGGATTTTTAAAACTGAGAGGTGTAAAGGAGAATGACATCGAGGGCGGTATAAACAAAACAACGTCAAAAGAGGATGGAAAGTTGAAAATGAAGAGATATACAAAGGTAGGCGTGTGGGTAAGTGACAATGGACACTCGGGGGGGGGGGGATAAGAAAAAGGGGGAGGGGGGAACAGAGGGTGGAGAGTACAAAACGGGGTGCGAGAAAAGGTGGGGATTCAAAACTGGGGATAGAGGGCGCAGCCCCTGTCGAGCGGGAGACCTGATACGGTTGTGAGGTTAAGCAGGCATGTGCAGGATGTGACGATTCCTTGGGTGAGCCCAGAACCAGAGCGCCATGTGCCGGCTCTGCATGCATGGAAGCCTCCTTGGATGGCGGGGAATGCCCATGATCTGCCCCTGCCTTCCCTTGAGGGCCAACTGTTCCACAGGGGGCTGCCCCAAAGGGGTACTCCGGGGGCAATACCTGCGGCGAAGGAGACAAGGCGGACACCACACAAATCAGGCAAAGTCTCGACCCACACAAAACAATGGCCACAGTCACCCTAGAAATAGGCCTGACGTCTTCCTTCGATGTCGGCGTACAGCTGCCCAAGAGGCAGGGAAATGAAAAACGGTTGTACACGCAAAAATCAGGTCCAGGTGAAAGCCAAAAGTCCAAGCGAACGATTAACCGGGACCTTCCACTGGAATTCACAGCCGGTGTTCGATGGAAAAAAAAAAAAACTGGGGATGAAATAGCAAGAAAAGGTGGGGATTCAAAACTGGGGATGAAATAGCAAGAAAAGGTGGAGAGTAAGAACTGATTAAATGCAGACTTAAAAAAAAAAAAAAAACATAGAAAAAGAAGCTGAACAGTAAGTTTAAAAACACTGGGCGAAAAAAAATGTCACGATACGATCTCAGTGGTTCCAGAAGTTAGTACTTGTAATAAGTTCTTCTGGTTCTAAAGAGAGAGGATCATATTTACTCTGCCCTTTACCCTAATATTACTTTAAACAAAACTGATTTAAATGTTTCCAGTCCTTCTACGAGACAAAGCCACTGCGCTTTGTTTAAAATTACATAACACTACGTAATACAGCCCGCTGGTTCAGACTAGGGATGTGAGGTTTGATTCTCACGCCAGTGTCAGAATGTTATCTCCTAACACAGCCTGAGTGGGGCCCTTTTGAACAGGGGAATTGAGTGGACGCTAGACATTGTGGCGACCAGAGGTTTAAGTAACACGTCAGTGTAATTCTTAAGAGAACAGGTGTTTGGCAATTAGGAATGTTTGATCTGGGTCAAGTAGGAAACACAATGGCTTTACTGAACGTCTT